TATCTTGTGCACCTTGGTAACTCAGGATGGATGCTTCATGCTAGAAATGCTCGTATAGCAGAAGGGTAATTTTAAAAAGTCAAGATTAGATTAATTTGAACTTCTAAGAAAAGGCATTAGAATTAATTTTTATTTTTTAAAAATTTAATTTTCAAAAAATAGATCATTTGTCAGAAATGATTTGAGGAAAAATTCTAATGAAAAATACAGAGCCCCAATCAAACAAACATAAAACATAACTTTAGGAGTGAATTTTGCTGAAGTATGCATTCACACCTGTACAGAGGAAAGATTTGATCTTTGAAAAGAATGGAAAAAAGAGTCCTATACAAAGAAGCATTTGAAGAGCAAATAAGTTTTTAGAAATTAAAAGTAATACAGCAGGAAAAAATGCTATGGACATATTAGAAGGTAATAGTTGAGGAAATCTGCCAGTGACATGGAATAATAACTCACTGCCATCAAGTTAACTCTCATAGCAAAAAGGATACGTACATGAAAATTAGTGAGAAAGAAATAAGACAACCTAAGGATAATTAAAGAATACCCAATATCTAATTAGGAGTTCCAGAAACAAGGAACATCGAAAGCAGGAAAAATTAGTAGAGAAGTAGGTAAAATTATTTTTTTAGACCTGAAGGCTACAATTTTTGTAGATCAATATTGTTTACCAAGTTTCTAGCAGACTGAAAAAAGAAGGGGTTGAGAGAGTTAATGTTTATTGTGCCAACCTGGCACATGCCAGGTTAATTGAAGGGCAGAGAGATAAATGTCTCAGTGAGCCTTTCTAGTTCTCAGGTCTCTTGCTTTCTGATGGTCAGACCAGGGTGCAGCTGCCTTAGCCAGTTCCTACTTCAGCTTGCAAGGCTGACTTCCTACAAGACATCCCCAAGGAGAAGCCACATGGACCTACCCCGATGCAGCCCTGGGTCCTGGAGCAGCTGTGTGGAGACCCTGCCAGTGCTGAGATGCTTACACTTTCACTGACTCGGCTTTCCTCCTGCAGTCGTTGTCATAGTGTGTGTTTTGTGAGATGGAGGAGGACTTTGTGGATGGGTGTCAGACATATGGGTTAATGTTGGGCTTGTGGGCTTGGGCAGCACTGGGTTGGGATGTTTTCTTGATGTGCACTTACCCTTTTTATAAAACTCTCTCTTATATGTATGAATTTCTGTGGATTTGTTTCTCTAATGTTCCCAGATGAACAAAGGGGTGGTGGAGGGAAGAGCTTCGTTCATTGATTAATTAGGAAACCTTAGGAAACCAAAAACATAGAAGATCCAAGATGAAAATTGTACCACATTTCACATATGCAACTACTAAAACTAGACTCTACAAGAAAAAAAGTCATCAAAATTAATGTCAACCTTGAATTATCTTCCAAGCCAATCAATTAAGTTTGAAAGTAAAATCATCTTCAGACATCACAAGAAATCTAACTCCTGTTAATTGATTCTGTCTTCCAAAAATATGTGCTGAATTTCTAGCCTTTGTATCTGTACATAAAATCCTGCTTAGAAATAAAGCTCCCCCACCCCCCACCCCCACCCAGCCACCCCAGCCACCTTATGAGGCCACAGCAGTGTTGGATAGGTCCTAAACCTAATCACTTTCGAGTTATAAAAAGACCAGAGCAGACACAGACTGGGAGGTGGAAAGTTGAGAGGTGTAACAGATACCATTTGGCACCTTCAAGGACTGCTAGCACTAGACGCTGAAATAGACAAAGAAGGACCTCCACCTACAGCCATGGCCTGATTTGGAAGTTTAGTTCCCTGGACAGTGAGAGCGTAAATTTCTCTTTCTTAGAGTCACTCCTCTGTTACTGCAGCTCTGAGGAGACCTCCTCCATGCGTGCTTTCTCAGTCAACCAACAAAAGATCCAGGATACAGAAAGCAAGGAAGCCAACACAGGAGGGAGCAAAGTGACGAGAATTCCCGGGATGAGGTGATGAGGATGAAACACAGAGAACATAAGCACGTCCAGATGGCATTCACTCTAGATCAGAGAGACACAGGAGAGAGTCCTCAATAAGATAAAAGTTTACAAACATGTCATGTTTTGCAAAATTGGGGAAGAATGATTGTGTTGGATTCGTAATACACATATGGGACATAAAGGAAATGAATTTTAAAAAAGCAAAGAGCAAAAATTTCTTAACCACTGGATTTGAGACTATAACTGTCCCAGAGAATGCACCATTGTGTACTACTCCTCTTAGCTATGACCAGTGTCTGCATTATCATAATGCAAACAGCAAATAAATATTCATCTAACAAGATTTATGATTGAATTGTACTGGAATAATAAGGGGCCATACAATAGGTTTGTGTGTTTCTATGTGTGTGCTTCTCTGTGTATGTGAGAGAGAGAGGAATCAGAAGGTCTAAATTCTTAACTTTCATAGTAGAAAATGCATTGATTAAGCAAAACCTGAAAAATCAAGAAATAGCCAAGTTACATAAACATAAGGATTTAAAGTATCAAATAGCTAGCCAGAGGAATTGAATTATGAACATTGGGCAATGAAGGCCAAAAGACTGCTGTTTCTTACAAGAATTCATATAGAGTCTGAGGTAGTTAGTTTATTGTGCCAACTTGGCCAATAAACACATGTGGAGTTAATTGAAGGGTGGAGAGATAAATGGCTCAGTGAGCCTCGCCTTTCTAGTTCTCAGGTCTCTTGCTTTCTGATGGTTGGACCAGGGTGCAGCTGCCTTAGCCAGTTCCCTGCTTTAACTGGCCAGGCTCACTTCCTGCAAGACATCCCTGAGGAGAAGCCACATGGACCTACCCCAATGCTGCCATGGGTGCTGGAGCAGCCATGTGGAGACCCCTGTCAGTGTTGAGATGCTTACACATTCACTGGCTCAGCTTTCCTCCTGCAGTCGGCATCATTGCATCTGTTTTATGAGATGGAGGAGGACTTTGTGGATTGGTGTTTGACATATGGATTAATGCATGAATATTGGACTTGTGGGCTTGGGCAGCACTGGATTGTGATGTTTTCTTGATGCGCACTTAACCTTTATATAAAACTCTCTCTTATACATACATGAATTTCTGTGGATTTGTTTCTCTGAAGTACCCAGACTAACACAGAGTCCCTAAAATATGTGCATGCCTAACTTTGATACAAATAAAAGTGAGATTGAAAACACAATGATAGATATACAAAATAAAATAGCTGTAGATATCTATATTATCTAAAGGCCTATCTTAGAAATTATTAATATCATGCTGTTTTGTTTGCTTGGCTATTAACCCTTCCCATTATTATTATTTTTTGTGTGAAGTTGTCACTCTAATAAAATATTAACTTGCTTGATGCTAATTAGGCCTTGGATTTCTAAAGGAATCACTGCTTCACAAAAATCTGTAAAAATTGTTATGGATATTAGCATACTCTTTAAGCTTCTCGGAGAACCATAATCTGTTACCCAAATGCTGAAATTTTACTAATTCCTTTTCTGTTGTTGTATATCACATTGCCACAGACAATATTGTCAGGAGATAGAGTGTCAAAGTAGGTAAGGGTTAGTAGATAAAACATTTTGGATTCCCTAGGCCTGGCCAATCAGGTTTCCTGGTGGCATAGTGGATTGCCCATTGTGCTGCTAACTGCAAGGTTAGCAGTTCTAGCCAATCAGTGGGAGAAATATGAGGCTTTCTGTTTCGGTAAATATTTATAGTCTTGGAAACTCACAAGGGCAGTTTTACTCTGTTTGATAGGCTTGCTATGAATCAGAACTGACTCAATGGCTGTGAGGTTTTTTTGAGAGGCCGGGCCAAATTGGAGAAGTTGGCTTATGGAGTGCTTAAGTTGGTGACAGTTTTTAAATATGGATGACTCTTAGGAAATGTATAAAGAGCAGAAAAAATTCTCACCCATCACACATTTTTCTTCCTCTTCAGACATGGTCCCACCCATTTTCTGTAAGGTCTGGTCCTTCTCAGACTTTAAATTCATGAAATGGGTTGAACCTCTATTTTTAATGAGAGGCCTTCAGACTCACAAGTACAGTAAGATGCATAAAAAGTTATATATCAAGAAGGAAATAATTCCCCTTGTAGCCTTTTGCTCAAGGGAGAAATTCCTTTCCCTTAATATGAAGAGTCACTTATATTGAAGGCTGGCCTCCATCCCAGAATCAGATCTTCCCACTTGCCACCTAGACTAGACTCTACTCCTAGTAGAATCCAGGTCACGTGATCATGAGGACCATGGACTTCATTGTCTTTGTTCATAACACCTGTGCTCTAGCAGCTAATTGATCCCTCTGCTTGAGAACTTTCCACGGATACCTTCCTCCTTCCTCCGTGAATGTCTTCCTTTACTCCTGTTCACCTTTCTGTTTTCAACTTGTCACTTTCACCCCCTCTGCTTATCATGACAGTCCAATAGCTGATAGATAATAACAAGGCGATGGGGGAATTTCCCATTTCTTCCATTAAACAGATATGGTTCTATTTTTTCCTACATTGGGTGTCCAGAGTCTAATACAATCCCTAGACCAGACTTAGGAGGTATTGATACATGTGTTGAGTTGAATGGATTTGCTATTGTCTCTATGTTTTTCCCACACTGTATTATATTGGTGCTCAGGGGTGAGTATGTGTAAGGGAGTTACTTTTAGCTGTATGGATCTGCAATTGAAGAACACCTATTAAGCTCCATGGGAATGTCACTGTGTGGTTATGAGAACTGTTAGTGTTCCCACCGCAAGCTGGAATGCTAAAATCTGCAAAGTGCTTGACTTTCATAAAGGAGAAGTTCTTGGAATCCATTAACACGTAAATGCATCCTCATTCTGTAATAGAGCTGGTCTAGAGATGATGAGATAACCATCTAATATACTTGTAGATTGCATTAGATGAATGGCAGGTCATTTGCTAAACTAAAATGCTCTTAATATGATTTGCTCACAGTCTTTCCATTCCATTGCAGCCGAGGTACCGACAACAGACTGGCCCACCGGCGGCAGACAATTCTCCGAGAGAAGGGGAGAAGGTTAGCAAATCGAGGACCAGCCTACATGTTTAGTGATCGCTCAACGAGCCTATCTATTGAAGAGGAACGCTTTTTAGATGCAGCTGAATATGGCAACATTCCCGTGGTACGGAAGATGCTGGAAGAATGTCTCTCACTCAACGTTAACTGTGTGGATTACATGGGCCAGAATGCCCTGCAGTTGGCAGTGGCCAATGAGCACCTGGAAATTACAGAACTTCTTCTCAAGAAAGAGAACCTGTCTCGTGTGGGGGATGCCTTGCTTCTAGCCATTAGTAAAGGGTATGTTCGGATTGTGGAAGCCATTCTCAGCCATCCAGCTTTTGCTGAAGGCAAAAGGTTAGCCACCAGCCCCAGTCAGTCTGAACTCCAGCAGGATGATTTCTATGCTTACGATGAAGATGGGACCCGCTTCTCCCATGACGTGACTCCAATCATCTTGGCTGCTCACTGCCAGGAATATGAAATTGTGCACACCCTCCTGCGGAAGGGGGCTCGGATTGAACGGCCCCATGACTATTTCTGCAAGTGCAATGAGTGTAACCAGAAACAGAAGCATGACTCTTTTAGCCACTCGCGATCTAGGATTAATGCCTACAAAGGTTTGGCGAGTCCCGCTTACCTGTCGTTGTCCAGTGAAGATCCAGTCATGATAGCCTTACAACTTAGCAATGAGCTGGCAGTGCTGGCCAACATTGAGAAAGAGTTCAAGGTAGGTCCTTAGCAATAGGGGCAGCACCCTCCTCATGTTAAAGGCAAGGCGCATTTACATGCTTTTGCTATATGCTCAGTACTGTTCCAACTCCTGTGGACACTGGGTCATTTTATATATTTACTCAGGCGGTTATTACATTTGTTTGTTGTGAAATTTATGATTCACTAACATTTAGAGATGATCTATTATACACCAGCTGTCTTACGTTTATTATGTCTAACCCTTGCCACACTTTTTCTCACAAAGCAGATATTGTGACTTCTTAGCAGATGGAGAGAAGGAGTCCTAGGAAGGTGAAGCAGGACCTCAGTCACACAAATGCTCAATGACAGAGCTGGGTTCTGAATCCCTATGTTATGTTCTCTGGGACCTATGCTCTTTCTTCTGCAAAATGAGAATGTTGTGTCTTCTATGTTCAGGGCATGGCATACGATACTGCTGAAGTCAGAAAGGCGAATTCAATCTAAGGAAGCCATTACCATTAGATTCAAGAGAAAGAGGTGTAATATATAATGCCAAATGAGGCCAATATTAAAAAATGCTACAAGCAGCATGCCCCAGGAGTTCAGAGACAGCCATGATTTATAAAGATTAGGCATCAGAGAAGTTATAAACAAGATGGCCTTTGAGCCACATCTGGAGGGATGAGTAGGTTTGGGGAAGACAGAAAATAAGAGGAGTGATATTGTAAGCTAAAACCCAAAGACCAAAGTGAGTCCATTGAGTCACTGCCGTTCTGATTCATAGCAACACCATAGAATGGAGTAGACCTGCCCCTGTAAGTTCCCAAGACTGTAACTCTCTATGGGAGTAGAAAGCCGTGCCTTTCTCCCACAGATCACTGAGCACTTGGCCATTTTGAACTGCTGGCCTCATGGTTAGCAGCCCGACACATAAGGGTTGGCAGCAGCAAAGGCTAGTAGAGGCGAGAGAAGGTGATGCTTAGAAAGAACTTTAGGCTCTGGCTTAATACAATGAAAGGTATCGATGGTGCCATCATTTGCGTGATGTGTGCTGTACGTGGAAGGATGAAAACTCAGATTCCTAGCTGAGGCCATCCCACTCATGTACTTCTAAGCTCCCTCTGAAGGTTACCTGTTCTAGTCCGTGGTCCTCACGGTGCTCTCTGTGTTAGGCTAGGTTTTCTAGAGAAACAAAACCAGTGACATTCATTGATGTATAAGAAAGAACTTGATAGTAAAGAGTAATTTTATATCAAGATGGAAGCACCCCAGCCAGAGTCCAACTTAAACCCACTGGTCCAATGCTAGTCACAAGTCTCCCGACTCAGGCAGCTGCAGGCCGATCATGCAGAAAGGTGAAGTTGGCTGCAGGGCAATCCCAGCTGACGGTGCCGAGTTGGTGGGAAAATGTCAGGGTCCCCGGAGGCAAACACAGAGTCCTGGTGAGAAGGAAGGCAAAGGAACAAGAGAAAGAGAGAGGAGGAATCCTTGTGTCTTTCTTGTAAAAAGGCCACACCTCCCAGGGGGCGGGAGGATCATCAGGCCTGAGGAGCAGGTTAACATCCACCCCTGCCCAAGCACAAGTTGACATAAAATCTAACTCCTGCACTCGGCCATACAGTATTGTTTTTTAATGTGTACTTTTCTCCTTTACTAAATCACCACCTCCTCACAATCAGGTCTGAGTTGCCTAGCAAAGCCTTTTCAAGATAATCCCACTAAGAAATGTATGTCGAATGAGATGCGTATGTAATGTATTTAAATTTAATTTGAAAAATGTGTAGGTATTTGTATTATTTTGAACACTTGTGCTCAATTTATGTAGTTTTGAGTAAATATACTATTGATCATAATATTGATAACTTATTTTCATAACATTTTTAATAGTATAGCTCTATGAGCACAGGAAATAAAAGGGTAATAGATTGATGTATGTTTAAAAAGTGTATCCATGAACTTGAAAATGAACAGATTTTCTAATTGGAAACTGAGCTCAATAAGTCCATATATTGTACAAGGAGAAAAGGTCTTTCTTAAATTAAGATTTAAAAAACCAGCAAAACTTTATACCAAACTAAACTCACTGCCATTGTCTCAATTCCGACTCTCAGCAGCCCTAAAGGGCAGGGTAGCACTGCCCCGTGGGTTTCTAAGACGGCAGCTCTTCCTGGGAGTAGAAAGCCTCATCTTTGCTGACCTTGTGGTTAGCGATCTAACACGTACCCATTATACTAAAAAACAAAAAAGCATGATTTTTTTTCTTTATCAACAGACAGCTAGCATTCAAACATTCTATTCTGTGAGACTAGTTTGATTTGCTGAGGTACAAACAGCCACATCTGTTTTTGTGTACAAACTCTTAGGAAAACTGCACATGACACTAAGTCTGTTCCCAGCATCTCAGTTTTAATTGACATTTACAGGGTGGGATCGTATAGGGGCTCTGGTGAAACTTACTCTGGAGAAAAACAACTCAGAGGTAAGCTTTCTTGTAAGATCGGCTGCTTCGACCATTCAAAACAACCCCTTTTCTTATTTTAAAATAGTGTATATTATATGAGGGAACATATAGAGTCATTCCTAACTCTACCACCCGGAAAGAAACACTGAAGCCCTGGGAACCAGCTGGCCCATTTCTGTGGATCTTAGTGTAGTGTCAAGTCCCTTAGTGTAGCTGGTAGCAAAAAGATCCCTGAGGCGGGGCCAGTGGAGAGACAGGTATTCATCACATGGACGGACAGGCTGCATTGGCCACAGGAATCTCCTCATCAAATTCTTTGCTCTCTTACCATTTGTATATTTTATATTAACAACTTGATCTTTTTTTCTTTTGTTTTTAAATGGTTTGGTTTTTGTATACTGTAAACAGTGTCATTTAAAAAATTAAACTCTTAAGTTGCCCCTTCAAATGTATCCACTGAATTTTAAATATTATTATCATTTGATATCCACTATTCCAGGGTGGTATAAACAGGTGTTTGACTCCTTGCCAAAAGGTTGCCAGTTCAAACCCTGACAAAGGGTGCCTCAGAAGAGAGGTCTGGCGATCTGCTTCAGAAACATCACAGCTTTGATGTTACCATGGGTTGATATTTCCTGGACAACAACTAATAACATCACCTGTTTCAAAAACAAGCAAACAATCTCTTTTTTAACATTTAGAATATATACATATGCTAATAATTTCTTCAAGAAGAATTAATACCAGACTGGTCCCAAGGAGTTGGAGAATAAAGATGTCTGAAATGTCCATCTCTTCCAAGATGCTATTTAGCTCCATTTCTACCACTCCCCTCCCTTGATTATATTCCCTCATGTTCCTGGCTTCTTTGATGTACTGCTGTCCCATAGATACTGACAAAACTCCAAGGACTGTTTCATGTGGTGGTGGATGCTGTTCAGTTCCAATCAGAGTCAGACAGAGGGGCAGGACCTAGAGCCAGGAGCCAAAAATGTCCAAAAGTCACAGCAGGTCTTGATTCTACCAAAGCTCCCTCAGGAAATGGAGATTTGGCTTTGATGGAGGTGTGTTTTTGTCTTTTAGCTGACCATATCCCCAAGGAAAACAAAGGATGGCATCTTAAGTCACACCCTCTGGTAAGGTAGTCTGCAAAAGGCCCCCAAGGAAATGAAGGGTGTGACTTGGTTCACACCCGCTACTGACATCAAGTCTTGACACCACCCTACTCCTGTCCATTAGCATAGCAGAGAACGCTGTCCAAAATGGGATTCTTGCCACAGGCATAGAGTCCAGAGTGATTTGCATCACATAAGAAAGTACGACTAGCAGCGCCATAGTAATTGATTTCAACTGAATTTATCTCCATGCATTTCTCCTTTTTCTTGTTGAGCTCACCCTACGCATGAAGCCCAGTTCATTTTCCTCCACAACATTGGTTCCTGATATTAGTGTAAAACTTACACGGTGGCTTCAGACTTCCTTGTCTAAAGTCACACATGGAGGGTGAGCATCAAGATCATCAGCCAAAAGGTGATTGCCATGAGGTCAGGGTTAGACATACCTCCTCTCTCCTACTGGTTCACCAAGTGTGACACCAGCCTCTCCTCCCAGCACACTCTGCTTCTTTGCTGGTTTTAATCATTTGTTGCATTGTCACAGAGAACTCACAGCCCGTGCTCACAGTTAGGGAGCGTTTACGAGGTCGCAGGTGCTACACAGGATAGTTCTATGAGGACCACCTGTTCTCTTCTGTACGTGTGAGCAGATGGTACTCTCCTGGCTTCCTGTTCTGCGTAGGCAAGTGTTACAGCTCTTTAGTTCGACCACCAAGTGCATGGAGGCACCCCATTCTTCCAGCAAGTCTCCCCCTAGCTCTGTGCTCTCTTGCTCCATGGCCAGCTTGTCCACAGCCACCACTTTGCTAAGTCCACCACATGCTGGTCTCCTGCTTCTGTGGCTACTACTGCGCTTTTTTCGTGGTGGCCGTGAGTTCCCTCCCAGCAGCTTTTGGGATGAATTCATTTCAAACCCGGAAGGAGAGCATAACTGACCAATTCCATTGTTAGGGTTTATTTCATTATTTGGTTGACCAGACCCCCACAAGGGCTCCATGAACTTTGTCTGTATTATTAGTAGGCTCTCCAATCCCCTTGGTGAGCCCCAAACATCTTATTTGCATAGTCCCATGCAATCTTTTGTGAGAGTCTCAGGACCATCAGGGACAGGACAGCCATATCCACTCTACTACAAATAGCTTTCTTTTGTCAAAGGCATTTCTAATCAACTCTTGTCTAACTACTGTGTATGAGTATACTTCAAAAAGTTTATGAAAGAATTCCATTCGCTTTTCTAAACTAGAGTTTTATTAAAGTATAATTAACATATACAATTTAGTTTTCAATCATATTAAGTAGGGTTGTGGTTAAATTATGGTGTTGGTGAAAAACACTGAATGTACCATGGACTACCACAAGAACAAACCCATCTGTCTTGGAGTAAGCTCAGTCAGAATGCTCTTTCGAAATACAAACCTTGTCTTCTGTACTTTGGGCATGTTATCAGGAAGAATCCGC